CATTTCACATTATACAAAATTATACATGAGAATAATATTCAGTAAATGTGTACCTGCAATAATTAATGAGTTCACATGCCCAGATTGTACTCCATCGAATTAACTGTATCCACAAGAACATTATGCAACCAGTAGAAGTTATTTTTATACACGAGACATGCACATACGATCTTAATATAAAAAATAACAATCTAACAAATACGTTCTTATCCATGTAGACAATGTCAGTTGTAAATGCATCTGCAATATATCATTTGAAATTACATATTATTAATATTACGTATTGTTAATGAAATCACATAACCAACAGAAATGCCAATTTTAAATTATTATCTGATAACATTATATAGTTTTACCTTCCTTCCCCACTAGCCCATAATATATACCAAAAAGTAATAATAGTGTTCATAACAGCAGTAACGATACAAGCACAGGGAAAAGATACTCTTCACAATAAGTGTGACTAAAGTTGTGATACTGTGAGAGATATTTAACTGATTTTTTGAAATATATGCACAAAGATGGCATACAATATGTTCATAATAATAATATAAATAATGCATATTAACTAGACAAGATATGTTACATTAGGTTAACATACGGTCAAAACTGATAATTCTTAAACAAACACCAATTCAATTCAAACTTAGTTAGTGTAATATCTACCTAGTATTAAACTACTATAAAAGTGTTCATGGTAAATATAATTAATAAAATGCACTTCCCAATAGTGCATGTGTGACCAACATGTCTTGTTTTGGGACAATTCCTTCAATTATAAATTGCAGTTTATATTTCAATGCATGCCCTAGAGATGTGTGCATAGACTTCAATAATATAGCCGACGGGTGTGTGCCATCTGTTGATGGGGCTACTATCACAACAGGGCCTCACGTTCACTCAATATGATGCGATTTACGAGAGTAGCTAAATGCCTAGTGTTTATGCTTACCACAACGACCAAAATAAACCGACAAGGACAGTATTTTTAAGGTCATAATATACAATGAGCGAAAATATCATTTTGTTACTATTTTATATTATTAAACATTTTCATAAAGGCATCCACCATTACCGTGATATATTGCTCCTTTCCTGATGTAGACGATCTTGTTCAGCATGTTTTGAAGAGTCAAAAAAAAATGTTAACATTCAAATAAATTGTGAAGTTAGTTAATCAAATTGTGTCTAAAAGGTGCATCACGTTTCCACATTACATAATGATAACAACACTTGAGAATCGGTTGAAATATTATTTTGTATTCCATTTTTCAGATAAAGATTCATTGATACTATGCAAAATGTTCCATTACACTGGCAAATCTTTGCAATGATAACTTGTTAATTATTTTCAAGACTTAATGTTGTATATATAACCTAATCAACAAATTTATGTTTTTTTTAGCAAAGATAAATTATTAAATGGTAGTAATTTTGTTTTTAAATGGTAGTAATTTTGTAATTATTATCATCATGCATTATTCAGTTTCATAATCCCGGCACCAGACCAATATAACAGTTAATATTTTTCTAGTTTGCATTGTTTCTCTTTTTCCATCCATGCTGTTTAGTACGCTCCCAAAAACATGTACATGTATGTATTGATTGATTGGAAGACAGTATGTGCCAATTTTTGTCATTCATAGTCCGCATTGTCACGTAGATACTTCTAGATTACTCTAGTTACAAACTTATTCTGGCTTAGCGTAAATTGGTGGCTTTATTGCGTTATTTACATTGGAATATTTGGAATACCATAATGTCTGATTCGCCTAATATTAGATCGGCTGTTGATCAATCGTGGGTTGTTCACAACAAGTTTCAGAAAGTGTTAGCTGCTGTCAGGATTACTCAGTCATGTGCTAACAAAAACTCTTTTATAATATTCACCATTTGCCATTTGGCGTGGTCTCTAAGGACGTACTAGGTGAATTTAGATTGATTCATGAGTTAATGATGGCATTCCATATGATGACATAAGTATAGACAATAGCACAGACATATAATTTTTGCTCTGCATTCAATCTTTCATTTTGATAAAATACTTTTTTGAGTGCAAAAAGCCAACCCCTGCTTAAGAAAACTATTTTCACCCCAGGTATTTTAAGGTGTCTAATTGATTTGACTTCATCATCATTGCCGTATAAATCACTGTACTGAATTGGACATTCTAGAAACGCTTATTTCATTAATTACCTGACGACCTCGTGGATGCAGCAGCATCTACTGGGTTTATGAAAATTGGCCAAATATTTTTTTTTACACAGGATAACATTGACGAAACTCTACCACATTATACTGGAAACTGTGTTCCGTGGTACGCTGACATCAAAACAGTTTTGTTTTTAACATGCAATACTGCAGTAGTACACATAAAAAATGACAAAATGAGAGTCGTATTCTTTTGCCCCTGATGTAACATCAGGTTTAAGGCAAAACACATTTCTGGATAATATTACGAATAGGCAGATTCTTTCGTTCTACAGCTGGTATCATAGACGTATCAGTTGTCAACCGCTATTCCAAGGGATATATTGCTAGAGTTCAGAGGTATATGACTGGGTTACTGACATCAGCATTGGCCTTGTCTTCACGTTGTTCCGACACAGCCATGCATAATTAAACAAATGCTATACACAGACCTTTACAAATGTCACCATTCATTTTGCATGCTCTTGTTCATTCTTTGTCATGCATTGTGGGATAAGGCTATTTTCATCTATTATCTAAGACGTTTTTTGTTCATTTCTTAATCTTGCATTTAAAATGTACACCTGTCAACATGCACAATTGTAGTCAGATTACTAGCATGGACAGTGGTGGGCAGCCCTTACATCAACCCTGAATGTTATGTTAGTGTGCTAACCAATAAATTTGTGTTTACATTACACATTCAACAGTAAATACGCATATGTATGGTAACCCCGGGAAAGCACATACTCGATGAGGTCACATGACCAACTAAAGGATTATATTATTCAAATTTCTCCCTTCAAGTGCACCATATCTTGTTAGTAGTAAATGCAAATAAATAATATAACATGTGAGAACTAGGTACACCAACGAGATATTTCTCATCTCTACGAGATATTTCTATCGCCAAAATACCAAATCTTTCCAGAATATTCAAGTTCAAAATTTAATGGCCCACAATTCCATATTGGGTTTGTCGATTGCATGTAATAATTAGGGTCGATTGTATACTTACTTAATTTGGAAATGTATCCCATTAAACATTGATTCCAGGGTTTAGTTATATTTCCCGATGTCTACATAAAGTTGTCAAAGCTGTTACGAAAACATACGAAATGGTACAATAGAGGATTGTGGTGGTAAATGTATACCTTTATTGTGACGAAAACAGATCATCAAGTGCAGTATGTGACTCCAAATATACATCATTTAAGTGCAGTACGTGACTCCAAATATACATCATTTAAGTGCAGTATGTGACTCCAAATATACATCATTTAAGTGCAGTATGTGACTCCAAATATACATCATTTAAGTGCAGTATGTGACTCCAAATATACATCATTTAAGTGCAGTATGTGACTCCAAATATACATCATTTAAGTGCAGTATGTGACTCCAAATATACATCATTTAAGTGCAGTATGTGACTCCAAATATACATCATTTAAGTGCAGTATGTGACTCCAAATATACATCATTTAAGTGCAGTATGTGACTCCAAATATATATCATTTAAGTGCAGTATGTGACTCCAAATATACATCATTTAAGTGCAGTATGTGACTCCAAATATACATCATTTAAGTGGTGAATAACATTAACCACTGGTAGCTTCACTTATCATATGAGCAAAAATGCACGATTCGATTGAACACCATTTTAAAATAAAATAAATAAATAAAATAATAATAAAATACAAGAAAACTATCAACAAAACTATCTCTAGTCTGTCTGAATAGTCACTATCAGCAGCAGGTGTAAATATATGACGCGTGAATTTGAGCCATGAAGTAGAATCGTCCTGGGACTTAAGGTAGTATAATAAGTTAAGACACAGCGGAATAGTTAAATATGAATAGCGTTCAATATGTTTATATTGCTATGGTCATATTGTCCGTGTTATTTTAGCTAATTTAGCTAATCCACATTTCGCTAAATTAAGATGTCGCTATATTCTCACAATGATATTATTGGCACTTCAGCTAAATTAAGATTCAGTTAATTCATGCATTGAGTCAAATTCGTTAAAATGGTAAAGGGTAAAGTGTTTTCCAGTATGTAGATTTGAAGTTGACCTCGTTGTGAAATTGGATTGCTATATGAGAAACACGTGTGTGTATTATTATTTTGAATATAAACAGAAAAGTTATTCAAAGTAGATCTTGTACAATTCACATTACACCAGTTTATTGATTGATTTTAAAGGCACAATTTAAATTACACATAATAACAATGATGAATGATAACTGAAATTATTAATTGATAAAAACGTCTAATGTGAGAGTAAATAGTCAGTGTCATATTAGAAATAAAGTTATAGTTTATATTTTGTTTTCAAAGAATGATCAGACGTAACAAGACGGTTCATGGTAGAAACTTTGCCTTGAAATCCGAAAGTGTATACAATGTAAAAAATATACGCAATCGCTAGTATTCAATATAAGTATGACAATATGAACAAATGTGCTTCATAAAATTGTTATACAAGACTAAATATTTGATTTATTTACAACAGTAGACACGAACGGTCAGTGGAAATCCCGCTTTCAACTATAGTAGCGTTAGCGTTTGTCAATGTGTGTTCATAACAATTCGTTCAAAAGACAGATAGGACTATATATTAATATAACCATCATATCCCTGATGTGTTTGTGTCTATGGCTGAATCCCCGAGCATGCGCACATCATTGCTGCCATTCAGGGCTCCACACGGAAGTCTCTTCTTCAGAGCAATCTGGAATTCTTCGTATTTTATAGCGTAAATGAACGGGTTCACGCACATGTTACAGAAAGCCATCGCTACAGACATATTGTAGAAGACACCTCCAAGGTCAAGGTACTGCCGGAATGTCAAAAACCAGAGATCAAATCCAAATATGTTTGGCGTGAAGCAAATGATATACCATATCACCACTATAAGTAACATTTTGATGACGTTCCATCTGAGACGCTCCGCCCGTTCTAACTTTTGCTTGTCTCTGAGGGTAACTTCGACATTGTTTATACCAGTAGGTTGATTGACGGGACTGACTTTTAAGGCGCGTAAGATATTCACGTATGAATAAATCATAACGGAGACTGGTATCAGATATTCAATCACAAACAACTCCACTCCAACGAATATACTGTAGCTGACACTAGGCCAACTAAACACGCACTCGCCGTCGATGCTCTGGTGAGTAGGCCAACCCCATGGCGATTCCGCCAAGTGCCCAATGACCCAGGTTGTTACCATGGCGATGATCGCCTTATTTGTCGTCACATTATTGTGATGCCAGATTGGGTGACATACGCCGAAATAACGCTCTAGCGTGAGCAATGTCAGATTGACGATTGACGTATTGATGCAGCCCCATAGCAATGTTCCCGAGAACCAAGCTTTACACAAAAAGTCCCCCCATGGACCCGAAGGCATGGTAGTTAGCGTCAGCAACGATATTTGCAATGCTAAAAATAAAATCGAACTAGTTATATCGATGATCGACTGATGTAATATAAAGCGGTGCGTCAAAGTTTTGAATTTACGATCTGAAACAAAGATAAAAATGACAACGCTATTACCCCAAAAACCCACAATACCAATGACACAGTATATGACAGTGATAGGACTGATGACACCCTCTGACAGTTCGTTCGTTTCTGTTGACGATGTGCTTTCAGTCGCGTAGTTAGACATTATTCACGTGACCTTTGTGGGATTCAATAACTACACACTCTGTGCAGTACAGCATACAGAACGACAATCTCAGCAATGTGGTGTGAATGCACTCTTTTTGTGTGTTGCACTCAAATGCTGGCATATATTATCACTGCTCAAGCCTAGATGAGTGTCTTGAAACTAGTAGGAACAATTAAACAATTCTATCTGTGAAAAAAGCAGAAAGAAACGAAAGGGTATTTACTGATGAGTAACGAAGGAGGCGTCAATCTGTCTCTAGCCACACTATAACCAAACCACAGTCAATTTGAAGCCAAATGACTGCATGCAAAAACAAATTTGAAGTTGAAATATTACAATTGCATCACGACATAATCACGTTGCGCGTTGTATGTGACGATATAGTCCGGGATAGCCACAGGGAGCCCAGGAACTATGATCAACTGTACGCACTCCCAATGAATGGTGATGGTGGGGGGGGGGTATCGGCTGGTATCTAGTGTAAGAAATATATAAGGGATGAAGGCTCCAGCGAGCTCATATTTTTTTAAAACTGGAAAAAAACAGACGGACAGAATGAAAAAATAAAATCTTTAAAACATACCAGGTTGAAGAATATTAGTTGCCCTTTCGAATTTCGCCAAAGCCTTGATTATATTTTACCTATATCTGCAGTATAAATCAAGAAAACTACACAAATTGACTCTATTTATGAATAATTAACTGTTGGCCCGAACGCACGGCACAGTTGGAGGCGTATAACTAATCACAAGACTGGTTACGAACCAGTTGAGCAAGGCTAACCGAGTCTTTACCTCGGTGTGGTTGGTAACCAGTCTTATGATTGGTTGTTGACAAAAGCTGAACAGGCCACGCCGTAAATATTCATTTACAGCTTTGGTTTCGTTGTAGTTCAATAATAATTAAATTAGTAATTTAGATTTTAGTTGTTCGACGAAATGCAGTAGACCCAATCAAGCAGTACATTTTTCAGAGTGAATGCGAACCAGACGTTGTGTGAGTTTATTTTTTTCACTGATGTCGACCACTGGAGAAGAACGATTAGGTTTTGATTTGCACTAATTCCGCATGAAATTGCTATGTTAGCTGCAGGTAATGTTGGCGCCAATAACCGTTGAGTTTGAACTGTAATCATCATTTGTGACTATACCGAGTGAAAGCTTCACTTCGGGTACTATAAAGAGAAAACGTGGTCGTCATAGATTACTGATTTTTTTCCCCATAGATCATACTTATTTAAATTGCCTTGAGGATTCAGAGATGAGTGCGAGAGTGTCTTGTGATTGACCATACAATATTAAATATATTAAGAACTGTTGTCATTATCTTTATTAGTTCGGAGGTTAAGACATTCAATTGACAATTTGTGAGCGTGTATTCAATACATAGTGGAGTGGTATGTTCATTTGCATAAACGACCACCCTTTATGAACACAATTACTGTCAGATGACTTTTAGGCAATTAAGGAAGACGTTTTTTTGGCGCCATCAAAATATTTATGGTTTCGGGGATGTAACAAAATTACTAATTCTAGTTTACATATAACGTGGTCTTTACACAATCCATGAGAAATACCCACTTGACTTTTGTATCACGGTCATCGTATATCAACGTATTTTGAAATTGGACCAATAACATTACTGACATTTTCATTACATGAAAAAAATACATTAATTATGTAAGCTGTGACGTGGGTTAGTGTGCGCCTCGGGTTAGGTGCAAAGAAGAAACTACACAAATAAATAAAATAGTACCGTAACGTTATAACGTTCCGGATACTGTATCACATTGTAAGATATATATTCCAACTGTTCACTCAATATGTACACACGCTATCGCTGTCGTGCAACTGGTCAAAATACTCGACTCTGAAGGATGACTATTTGGTAAATATTGAATAAGAAAATTATACATGATTGGTAGACTAAACACAGACAAATGGAACATTCAATTCACTAGCATTATAGTTTCACACTTTGATTAAGGAATTGTTACATGACTTTGGTGTATATTATCTCTTTTTTGAAGCCTCAACATCCACGTTAAACGTCATTATTTAATGCATATGTTCGAGTAATATGCAGAGAATTGCGGAGAAAAACAATTGTGCGAAAGTGCTGCATGTATTGTAACGATGAGAGAATTGTTGGACTGCATAACTGTACTTATAATAAATTGATGCAATGACACGGAATCGTATTAACATTGAATGAACGTTTATTGCGAACAAAAATATTAATAGATGGGTAATACTATTCTCGATTTGCGACAATCATTACGTAAAATTGTATACTTATAATCAGAAATGTCTAATGCATAGCATTAACGCATTAAATACAAATTAAAACTGAACGCACACAATAAATATTGCTGATATGATTGATTTGTATGCCAAAATAGTCATCCGGATTTTTAATACTTATAAGTTTTTTAATACAAATGATACATTTCTGATTTTAATGTTATTTTTTGGTCAACAAACACAAAACCGCCTGTTTAATATCAAAAACAGCATGGGGCTGATATTTGCCACAATCTATTGAACATAAAATGTATTACTGATTTGAATACTCGCATCAACTAGAATTATGTATAATTTGAGCAATTTCCTTGTTCCTTATTAATTCTCTACTTACCTGCCGGTTATAACCATTACGAGACCATTTTGAGCTCTTTAAGCACAATTTGTGTTCAACCATGGAGGTTGGTAACACCCCCATATGTATTGTACCAAGCACTCCCGTAACCCGTAAATGATTGAGTAATAGACCCACGCACCTTGTGTACATGTAATGATGTAGGCAATTTGGAAAGCATATTTACATGATGTATCGATACTTGTATACTCATAATAAAAAAATCAGTTGATAATATAATATGTAACCCAGTCTGTATTTGCAATATTTAAAAACATCATTGAGTATAATAGAAGATTTATGCGTACATAGCGAGCTAGTAAATCGAGTTACGTTTCGCAAACAGTGAAATTGTTGATAAACACTGACCCAGAATACATATGAAATATTTTACTTAAAACCACGAAACAAGATTTCTGTATTGCTAACTACCTAATAATGATTGATGCGCCAAATAAACAAATCTAAATCATTTTGGAGCAACTCTAACAAAGGTAGACCAAGAATACTGCCAAATATTTCTAAATCAGATTGGCGCCATTACTTTCAAAGTATATTTAGTACTAATTACGAGTGCAAAATTATGTTGGATAATTATATTTAACTTCAACATAAGACATTTCGTAGGTGACCTATGTCTTTATTGAATGAAAGATTCAGACGTTTTAAAATATACACAAGTGTCTAACTTCAGTCTTTCATCAATGACTTAACAATTGAAACAGGAAGAGGAGTATAGATACGTTAAAATACGTGAATTATTTAAACTCAATAACTTCATGGGTATAAATTACCTCTATTTCTGAAGGACGAGTTTTGAAAAAAGTATTACTTGACATTAAAAGAATAAAACAGATACATGACGATACACTAAAAGATTTGGTTGATTATAATTTTCTTATAAATCTTATTTTTTTAAATTACAAATTCGGAAAAAATCGTAATAACAGGAAATGTTTGCACGAACAATGACTCTGAATCTCTGGGTAGTTGAAGATTAATTCCCTTTTTGTTTAGTTTGCCCTGATTAACATTCCAACGTTTTAACATGATCCATTTTCGAGATGAAAATTGTATGTTTTATTGAGCTGAAAAAGGAAACTGTTCAAATACACCTTTAATGCATTTAACGTTCGAAAAACTGTATTAAATTAATGGATTAACCATTTATCTTCACGTATTTGTTTTCTGTTGTTATGTACGTACGGATGGTGAACAAAATACTGAATAAATATAAATATACCGAGTAGTTCACACGAACCAGAAACAACGCAGGTACCTCATTGAAATTATTATAACAACATTACGTGTGTTGAGAATTAGACGTTAATGATACAGACTTGAAAAGTAATTGAACATACCTGATTTGTGAGAATGCTCCAAACACCAGTAGCCTATTGTATCTAATGTTGTATCTCCTTTTGCTATAAGCATGTACGTAATGTATATATATAAGTCACCACGTCATCTCAACGACTATAGCCCGGATATGTTTAATATTCAGGTATTCAGTAATGATATCTAGTAGGTAACTGCTGGTTTAACATTATGCTAACATACGAATAAGATAATCGAGACTGTGGTGGCGCATGACAGCACATATTCGACGAATATTGCATATTGTGACTTATGTAGATGCGATGTATTTATTTATTTGTCCTTTCTGTTCTACAATAAATGTAATTATGGAATGAAAATGTTGCGACATCGACAATACTGGACCAAAGGTCGACTGCTAGAAACTTGTCAATCATGCTGTTTTTTGTACTATTCAGTTATAGAAGCATATTTTAAATGTTGCGTAACTTTTTATGCTGTTGGAAAGACTGTGTGCAGCGAGCGTAAATGTATGGCTTACATTTGAGAAGTAAACACCCCAAATTATCTTTGTCCGACAGGTTGCAAATTGAGTTTAGTCATTTTTCCTACAATACCAGTCATTATACATCTGTCACCGTAACGCCATAATTTACAGCGAGCCGTAATTTTGCGGTATTTTACGGAACATTTTCATCCTACCATATCTCAGCAAGAGGTGTTAACCAATATATTAGGACATGAATGACATATTGTGTTCCATATATGTACAAAGTTAAAAA